AGAACAGCATGGTCTATGTCGTAAATTCCAGGATAGCTGGGACTGCATGGTGATGCCCTGTTTCAAAACAACAACAACTAGTGAGACAATGTTTAAGGTTCTTCAACTTGGGTTTGACCGGCTCTCCCTATCACAGCATGTAAAAAACGTACCTTAGTCTTGTATGCAGTGTAACTGCTTTTCTGTTCCTGGTCATTCTGTGCCTGGAGGTAGGGATATATGAGACCAATTAACCAACAAGAAGAACTCCATCATTCCTCACATCTGGATGATACATTACTCTCACTCTCCAGTGAGGCCAGAGTCAGAGATGTGCTAGGCCAAGAGTAGGAACATAGATGTGTGTTCTGTCTATTCTCCACTTTCCAGATCAAGGCCTTGCTTGCATTCAAGTCGGCTGTTCCTGTAGAAAACCCAACCTGAATATTGGGTTGAGTTTAAACAAGGAAAAGAAAGACGTCATCGAATTTCCTGTGCCCATTAAAGCTAGGCTTCCTTTCTCAAAAGGGAGGGAATGATGTCATCAAATCCTAACTGTTGGGCAGTTGACCAGCGTGGAAGTCCACGGCCATCATACACCAGCTTATTAGGTAACACAGCGGCAGACCCTCCCATTAGCGTTGTAAAAGCAGATGTAAAGAATGAGAAGATAGAATCTGAAGAAAGAATATTCTAGTGTGTTGTCTATAAAGACAAGTTTGGTTGGAAAGGGGCAGGGCTGTTAATGAAATAGTTCAAAAGGAAATACCTGTCACACAGCAGTAATATATGGCCTGTAATAAATCTGTCAGAAGTTCCTGTACTTCTAACCCCCGGGACAAACAATCTCTTGTGGTCTACAGCGGATTCTAACTCAATCAAAAGTTCACAGGAGAATCAAGAAAAGAACTTTCCAGTGGAAGACAAATAAATATACCAGAATAATCAAGCACAAAATTTTATGGAACACGTTTTTATTCACATAATTATATTTCAACCCCTCTTCTATTTTGTCTTAGGATGAAGCCATGTAGATGTTGTCTTGGAACCTAGAACTTGTCTGTCTTTATGAATCTTTTATTATTTATTTATTATTTTTAGTTAGGCTGCAATAAACTCAGCCCACGTAATTGATGAATTCTCCAGTCTTAGCCCTTGGGTATCTGGTACTAAAGGCACCCCCTGGTACTCAGCTCAAATCTTAGATAATAAGAATAACGGTTGACACAGTGATTCTATGACTCCTGAAGAATTTGATCATGGTACCAAACCAACCAAAAAATGCTGGATATGTAACAGTTTCAAAGAATTGCGGAGAGGCTGAATTCTGTCAGAAAATACTTCCCAGTATCATCTGTTAATGTATGATAAAAGTCAAACCCAAGCTAAATTCCAAGCTAATGACACAGCTAGTTTTTATGTTACAGTATTGTTCAAAATTTAAAATTTGGGATCAGTTTTAAAATCCAAATATTAAGTGCTGTTTAAGTTCAACACATGAAGGACCACCTAGACTCAGGGATGAGGAAGTCCAGGGAGGAAGTGAGGAAGTGAGGTAAAGGAGGAATGAAGGGCAGAGGTATCTTTCACAATCAGTTACCAGCCTGGGAGTCTCTTCAGAGTGACTTCTGGAGAATTGTTCTCTCTGATTCCTTGAGGACATGATATGGGCTGTTCTGTTTGACCACACCTGTTCCACTATATAGGTGGATGCCTCTGAAACAAATCTCACTATCTCACCGAGAATCCCCAGGCCCCGTGCTTCAGTCTTCAAGTGCTGAGAAGGTAGGTGTGTGCCACCACACCTGGCTACTGGCTAATGAACTTCTGACAAGAGTGCTTAGGTGATGTGCTTAGGTGATGAGAAGGACAGAGGATGGTCTCTTCAAGGGGTGTGGGGAAAACTGCATATCTAAGTGAATGAACAAAGGCAGATGCTTATTTCCACAGACAAATGTTAAAGCTAATAAAAGACCCAACAAGCTATAGACTTGTAGGAGAAATCATTGGTAAAATTCTTCACGATATTGCAGTTGTGTATTAAAATATACCCCAGCACTGAGCCCGAAGCACAGGCAATGCCAGCAACAGAAATAGGTGAGCCAATATCCACTGGATCACAAAAATATTTTTTTCTTTTTGCATGAAAAGACACCACCAAGAAAGAAAAAAGACAGATCACAGAGACAGAAGTAAATATATGAATATATCAATTTGACAAGAACTTACATTCACCCTACAACCCCACTAGAACAGAAAGCTAAAAACTCAATTAAAACATGGGAAAAGGACTTGAATAGACAATTTTAAATGGTTCATAGATTGCTCAGTATCTTAGTCACAATGATGAGCCCATCAATATATGATCTATGGAGTTTCTGCCTTTAGACACATTATTCAAATGGAGAGGGGACATCAGAGACAAGCAGAGCAAGAAATGACATGTTTATGATTTCCCAAAGGGTATCCACGGTGGATATGGGAGAGACCAACATGGCTCACCTTGTGCCCAAAGGTGGTTGACACGTGATAGCAATAGGTTTTTAGATAGTAAATGGAGGATGCTTTAAAATAGTATGAAGGTTTTTGAACTTTGGATTGTGTGTACACTTATCTTACTAGGAATAAGAGAAGTATGCTACTAAATACATCCTCCCTAAACCATGACTTCTTAGCTAAAGTAGACGTTTTCATTTATGAATTATCAGACGTTTTCAAGAGTGAAAGGGGTTATATCTAAAAAGCACTATGAACTTGAGTATAGGGGAAAGGGATCTTACTTTGTAGAAAAGAAAGTTTTGGCATCTAGCTCAGGGACACATCAGTGATACCAGGATTCTGGAGGCTCAGGTGGCGGCTGGGAGGTGTGGTGGCACAAGCCTCAATTACAGCAGAGGCAGGCATCTCTGTGGAAACAGCTTCATTTGCAAAGCAAGTTCCAGGACAACCAGGTCTACCTAGAGAGACCCTGTTAACAAAACAAAACGAAAGGAAAGGAAAGAGAGGTCCCTGTTCTCTGGCTTCGGACCTGGAGACAGCCCACCGTGGCGTTTCTGAATAAAATGGCCTTTCTATTTTTAGAGTTTTGAAGGAACCTCCACACACATTTCCATAATGGCTCTACCAGTTTATACTCCAGTGGCATCAGTGAATAAGGGTCACCTCCCCGACAATCTTACCAACCTTTGTGGTCATTTGTTCCCTTGATAATAGTCATTCTTCCTTGGGGTATGATGAAATCTCAAAGCACTTCTTCAAATTTGCATTTCCCTGATGGCTAAAGATGTTGAACACTTTTGAAAGTATTTATGAGTAGTTTGTGCTTCTTCTGAGAACTCCGGTTTTATAAACCATGTTGTTTATTTAGTCTAGGGACCAGAGCATTTATTCAATGAGGGGAGGTGCAAAAGGTAAACAAGATGGGAAAACGGAGATGGAAAGGCAGAGAACTGGTTGGTAATGAAAGCAAGCTCACCTTTCATCTCTTCCCGCTCCTGGTGATGGCAGACAGTGCTCAGAGCATTTCTTAACCTGCCCTTTGTTCGCTTGACGTTTAGTTTTCTAGGCACTAGTTCTGTCGGATGGACAGTTAGCAAAGACTGTCTCCAATTTTTTAAGCTGCCTCTTGGCTCCATTAACCGTTTCTTTCACAGTACAGAAGATTTTACATTTCGTGAAATCTCACTAGTCAATTCTTGGCCTTATTCCCTGGATCCCTATTCAGAGAGTCCTTATGTTTGGGGCAGACTCCCTGCAGTTTCAGGGGACGACACTGAGATCTTTGGTCCTCGTGGAATTGATTTTTATTCAGGATGACAGAGAGATAAGGGTCCAGCTTATCTCTTCTCCGTATAGAGATCCTGGTTCCCCAGGGTCATTCAAAGAGTAAAACGGTGGAAATGCAAGCTGGTTTTATATGGTAGCCGGCATGGCGGGGGCTGAGCTGACACAGGCTGTCTCTGTTGACCCAGTACTAGCTGGATCCAGTACTTGCCAGGGGTAGTTAACCTTTGGGGGAGAGTTATGGGTGGTGACCCTGTGAACAGAAACCTTTAGGCTTGTTTACCCGATGACAACCCAGCCAGAGTCCTTCTGTTCAGGGCACTGTCAGCAACAGTGGCATTTTTAGGGGACAGGGGGTGATGCCTTTGGACTCGGCAGTTATCTTTTCTCCAATGTGTGCTTCTGCCTTTTTTCTGAAAGTTTTTGTAAAAGTGTCTGTAGTTACGAGGACTTATTGCAGGGTCCTCTGTTCTGTCCCACAGATCTATATGTCAGTTTTGTTTCTGGTACTTTCGAGTCACACTATAGTTATCATTACATGCTCTACAAGGGTTGATCAGTAAGTACTGGGATTATTGGTGGGTAAGGTGCACTTTTGTGTTTTAATTATTCTCTCTCTTTTAAAGTGAATGTATATTACTGTCAATAACGTTCTGGGGAGGAGGAGGTGATGGAGAAAGGATGGATGCAGTTAGGAGGGGTAACTCGTAATGTTCTGTAGCACATCTGGGTGTTAGCCCAGGCTGGCTGTTAACCAGGAAGGCTATTTGTCCCATATTTAAGAAAATTGAATTACCAATGAATAATCTGATCATTGCATACTGCATACATGTACTGAAATAGCACATCATCATCCATAAATGTGTACAAGTGAAAATATGATCTGGAAAGAAAATTGTATTATGATCAGGGATGGGGATAAAAATTACTACCAAGGGGAAATAAAGAAAGCTTTGTAAGCCCAGGAGTATGAGGAAGTATCTTATAGCGATTTGCCTGGGATATGTCCCTGACCAACCCTCAGAATCGTGGCCCTCCTCAGAAGTACCTAATTATCAGTTAACCATCGTTGGGGGGTGGGAGGGTCATGTCTCCGGGGCCTTGCTGTGTTCGCAGATACAGGTCATGACTGAGTTTATGAAGTTTACACAAGCTAGATGGGCTGCTGTTTGCGAGGGCAGAACAACCCGGCCGGTTGGGTTTACTCAGGTGAGCGTGCTGTCGTTCTGTTTTTCCAGCTCGCCCTTGCTTTGTGGGAGAATGGAGTCCCTGGAGTGGCTGTGCAGGCCAGTGCCAGCCCACCACGCGTGTTCGCAGGCGTTCAGTGCGGCAGGAGCCGCTGAACGGAGGGGCACCCTGCCCACCTCTGGAAGAGAGAGCCGGCTGCCTCGAGTACTCCTCATCGCAGGGCCAGGACTGCGGGCATGCCTTCGGTACGACTTGGCTACTTCCTGAAGGGTCATGTTTTGTGCGGGGAAAGTTCCGTGAATTGGAGTGAGTGGGATGGACCAGTCTGCCTAAAGTAGATAGGAAGCTCAGGAAACGCTTATTAAGGGATCAATAGCCCGCTGTATACATGCCGCTTTCCCTTGCTTCCGTGTGTGTGTGTGTGTGTGTGTGTGTGTGTGTGTGTGTGTGTGTGTACACGGTCCTTTCAAGATACTTCAGGGCAGGAAAGAGTCTAAGAGTTCAAGGCCACCTTGGACAACATAATTAGAGCCCATCTTCAAAATAAAAAGTAAAAATTAAATAAATAAAAAAGAAAGAAAGAAAAAACAAAAGAAAAGAAATATTGATCTGATTGAGCTAATGAGATGAGCTAGCAAGCTAGCACTCTGGATCACTAATGCATTAGAACTGTGTGAGTCTCACAAAGAGGCACCAGTGTGTTGATCTGGACTGAATCCAGGGAGGCAAAATGTTGACTTTCCTGGATAGAAAAGTCCACTTGTTTTTTCAGAAGAACCTGGAAAATGTTACATCAGCATGATCTTGATCAAGCAATTTCATCCTTCCCCCCCAACCCTAATCCTAACCCCCCCACATTTGAGTATTTATTTGATGAACGTCAATGTGGTGCCAGACATGGGCTATATTCTGGATTGTGGTGGGGAGGGAAGTTGCACGGGGCCCAAAGTCTCAGAGATTGCAGTATAGCAAAAAGGGACACAATCATCAGATGACTCCAGGAAATTAATCCTAGAAATTTAGATCTGTGGTAATTTGTCCAAATGGAGCTAAGGAATCAGTCATATGAGGAGCTGTAAGCAGGAGTGATGTAATTTCCTTTGCTCTTGAGGAGCAAAGGTTTCCTTGGAGATGAGGCTGTGAAATCCTGAGCTGCCCAGAAGAGAGGCCAGAACGCTTAAGCCTGATGGTCAGTTAGTCTGAAGGGCCGATGAGAGACAAACTTGAATGGGCAGTGCTTGAGCAGAGGACGAGAGGGAAATCCACACAGCACTGCGTTCTAGAAGGGTGGGGCTGCTTTCCAGAGGAGAGGAGGACACAGTATTGCCAAGCTAGAGGGACTGGAGAGAGCACTTAGTGATGTAACTCCACAGCATCCTGAGATGCCTCGGCTGAGAGAAGTATGAAGCGCAGGGGCAACTCAGATTCTACAGTATAAGAGCAACCAGTGGATACCGTGTGTAATGCCACAGGTGGCCAAGCAAGCAAACAAGTGAGCCCTAGGTGACTACAAGGCTGCATGTTTGATTGACTAAGGTGTGTGCATTCGTGTGTTCAGGTGCACACGTGTGCATGCGAGTGACGTCAAAGGACAACCTCCGATGTCATTCCTTAGGTACCTTTTTTTTTTCCATTTTTTTCAATAAGATCTTTCACTGGCCTGGAAGTGACCAATTAAACTAGGCTGGCTAGCCACTGAACCCCAGGGGTCAGCTTCTCTATGCCTCCCCAGTTCTGGGGTCCCCCTCCATGTCTGGCTGTTTTTATGTGGATTCTGGGGATCAACTCAAACAACCCTCTAGCACTTCGTTTATCCCCCAGGCCCTTATTTGGCTAGTAAAGAATACTGGATGTGGGAAACTTTGGGGGTCAGTGCCGGCAAACTTTTGAACTGGAGATGAGTCTATTTTTAGATTCCTGCCTTTTTGTGAGGAGCCTAGGAAAGCCACTGAGGTGTTTTCCGTAGGGGCCACTGTGATCAGATCTGTGACTGTGAACGGTCACTGTGGAGAGTTGCAGGGGAGGCTCCTAGGTGATGTAGCAGTGTTAAACTCAGGGAGAAACCATTATGCCAGGAGGACTCACAGTGCCTGAGGGCCCTCTGCAGACACCCAAGGTGTCTATGTGACTATTGGTGGCTCTTAAGACCCAGAGTTCACTCAACAAGAACAGCATCTGCTGTGTACCAGTGTTTGGCTGCTGGAAGATCCTTCAGCACCCAGGCTCTTGCACACCCAGTCCTGACTCTCTCTTTGAAAGACAGTGTGGCAGGAAGTTAGGAAAAGGACATGGGACACAAGCTTTGAGCACCAGGAAGTGTGGTTATGGTACACTCGAGGGACAGTGTGGTTCCAGGAAGCCCGGCCAGTACTCGACCCTGGACAGTGTCTTTTCTGCCTGGAGGTGCCTATCCCTCTGTCCAGCTGCTCTCACAGCCTTGAAGGCTGACCCTCCTCTGTCAGGAACAGCCATCCTCTTCAGCTAAACACACAGCTAGAGAGAGATAGGAGGCTCAGGGAATGTCCAGGGAGGAAGGGGACACCTGCTTAGCAAGCTAGATAAGCCCAACCGATCCTAGTGGTCAATGGTCTGTCATAGGCAGACCTCTCTCTCACATTTTCATTCACTTGGCTGTGTCTCATTCTTTAAACACTCACCAAATATCTGTGGCATTCCACGGCTGTGGTAGGTTTCAGAGATCCAGAGCCAAACAACAAGTGCATCCCAGCTCGTTACAGCTCAGGCTAACGGAGCACAGAGATAGACACGTTCTCCAGCTGGAGCTCAATTTCTGGAGCCTACACAGTAGAGGGAGAGAGCCAACTCTTGCCAGCCTTTCTCTAACCTCTACACACCCACACTGGCATGCACCCACCACTCCCCCAATAAATAACAAAATAACTAAGTGTACCTACAAAGGCCCTCACGTTGACGTGTAGGCATGGGAGAAAGCTCACCTCAGAGTAAGTGCATTTGTATTGCCATGTGGTCACATGGGCACCCACTGCTACCTCAGCCAGAGCTCCTGTTCACGGAGCATGAGCCTTAGCTCACTTTTGAGCGGCACAGAGTATTTGTTTGTTTTTATGAGACTGGAATCATGACTATGTAGCCCCGGCTGATTTCAAAGTCTCCATGTTGCTGATGATGACCTTGAACTTCTGATCCTCTAGTTGTTACTTCCCACATGTGGTGATTTCAGACTTGCACTGTATGCATGCACGCACGCACAGTTCACAGAGTTTCCTTAAGTGTTCTTGAGTCAATCTTCACAGAAATCCTACAAGGAATCATATTTATTCCTATGGCTGCTGTAACAAATCACCAGAACCTTAGCGGCTTCATATGACACATACATTTTCTTACAGTTCTGAGGGACAGAGTTCAGCACAGGTCTGCCTAGATTGAACTTGGAGGGTCTGAAAAGGGTATGTGCCCTTTCCGAAGGCTCTTTGGAAAACCATTCAAGCTTTTTGGAATGTGGAAGGAAATTCCTGAGAGATGGGAGCAGAAAGCATAGCGGGTGTGTCCTCCAGTTATGTTGGAAATACTTGTGAGTGACAAGGGAGCTTGCATATTTAGCCAAGGAGAAATCTGAGCACAGTGTTGAAGGAACGGCCTTCATTCTTCTTGCTGTTCATTAAGCAGGGAGAGGAAAAAGAGATACTGAAGAAGAAAGTTACTTAATCTTAACGGACTCAGGATTATGAATTTGATAATTCTCAGTTCACCAAGATGGCAAGTGGGTGGTGAATGAAATGAAGAGACTTGCCCTTAGGAAATCAAGTTCTAGAAAAAAACAAAACAAAACACCACGAACTGCGTGCCTGTAAATTCACTTAACACTTCAGAAAGCTAAGTTGCCACCAACTTAGTGACTTAAACAATATACATTTATTATCTACAGTTCTGGAGGTCAGAAATCTGACATAGGTTTCACTAGGTTACAGCTGAGGTATCAGTAGGGTTGCAGGCTGTCCTGGTACTTGGGGGCTAGTTTGCTTTTTAACTGTCGTGTCTAAACCATCTCTCCAGTCTGTTTTCTCATCTTTAGAGATTAAGTACGGTCTTTGTCTCCTGGTCCCTTCCATCTTCACAGCTAACGATATTGCATCTATCTATGCCTTTCTTCCGAAGCCATATTCTGATACCACCAGATTTTTTTTTTTTTTTTTAAAGTCTCCCGTGATTGCCTGGGGCACATCTAGAAGATGGAGAACCTTCACATTTCAAATTTAGCTGACTAGCAATTTGAATTCCATCTGTATATTTAATCCCTCTTTGCTGTGTAACATCATACATTCAGGCATTTACGCACTCTGGAGGTTGGCGTTAGACATCTTGAGGGTGTGGAGGCTCCTTATTCTGTTTTCCACAGAGACTAGGACAAGTCCATTATCTTGGGCTGACATATGAAGACAACAGAGGTCTGGGAGGCCACTGATAGTGTGTGGCTATCAGCACTAAAACTTGGGGTCCATGGCTACAACCCCTGCACTTCTCTCTCTTCCATATTGCCATCATTAAAATTAGGGCTACAGAGTCTGGTGACTAAGTCAAAATATAAAAGCCCCATGAAACCAGTGAACAAGATTACTCTCTCCTTAATGAGTTGTTCTTGTTTGACTTAAGGCAGATGATTATATTTTATCCTAAAAAGAAATATAAAAACTGAATTTGCACATAACTGAGGTTTACATGCATTTTTTTCTCCCTACAAAAAACCAATGTGCAATAATATAAACTATGTTTCCAGGTAGGGGCTATTTGCCAAACTTCCCTTTTATTCTCTTCTATATTGTATGTACAGAGCAGCCTGCATTTTGCATTTTTTTTTTTTGTGGCATGCCCTTGTGTCAGAGGGCTTATGAAATTCTCAGAGCAAATTTCATTTACTTTCATGTTCAAAGGAAATATGTGCAGAGCCATGCTTTTTAAAAGTGAAACGTGCTGTAAAAGTGAACAATGGAAGGTTCATAGGTTGCCAAAGAGTTGGCAAATGGCCTCTGAACAAAAATATTACATCTGGATACTGCTGCCAGCAAGGGGAAAGGAAGGGGACCAACCATCACTTATGGAGAGACTGAGTCCTGAGGCACTGGCTGTGTGTTTCCACACAGAAGCAGAGGTGGGGCTGAAGGCAAAAATAACTTTTAAATTATTTACAACCCTCAAGATATGAAAATTAAACTTGCGGGTAATCATTAAAGAGTGGCTTTGGTTCAAATGCTGCAGGCCATCTGGCTCCTGGACTGTGGGAGGAAGACTCATGCATGGTAGAAGGTTATCCTGGACCCAAACCCTGCAGCGGCTGGGGTGGGGCAGACAGGATCCCGAGGAGCTGGTTTGCTTTTAAGATGTGCCATAAGCCGGGGTGTTGAGGCTCAGGCAAGAGGATTGGGAGTTCAAGACCAGCCTGGGTTACTTATCAAGACTCTGTCCCCAAACAAACAATAACACAGACAATCAACATAGAAATGAATCCTGAGTATGGGGTCTCCTGCAGTCTGGATAGAGCTTGGGACCTCAGTCACGTTAAGCGAACACTCTACTAACTGACTACATCAGCAGCCCCTGGACCGTAAGTGACCAGAAGGTGAAAGCCACACGTGGTTGCATGTGCTTATAATGTTTGTGTTGAGAAGATGGACACAGATCCTCTCTAAAGGTCAGTGGCCCCAGTGACCAGCCAGCCTCAGCAGAGACCCTGTGCCATAAAACAAGGTGTACATCTCAAGTTGTCCCCTGACCTCCCTCTTGCATGAACACACAGGCACACATAGATGCTAATCCTGGCTTTGCCTACGGAAACCCTACTAGACCTTCCCATCTGGAAGGGTCAAGGCCTTTACAGCGGGGCCTGCTGCTTCTGCAGCTCCAACCAGACTTGGAGCCAAGGAATAAAGATAAGGAATTTGGTCTCTTGACTGATGCCTCCAAAAATACCAATTCCACTGGTTTTGTCTGAGGAACATGTCAACAAAGGGGTTATTTCTCTTAAAAATAAGAAGAGATGGAGAGAGAAGTAGAGGGGGGGGGGAAAGCAAGGAAAATCTGAAAAAGAATTAAGGCCTGCCATCTTGTGGCAGTCGGGGGCCAGGAAAATGAACGTGTCCTAACTGGCGCCCTCACAATGGTTTGCTGACTTTAACAAGTTTAACATCTGAAAACCTAACACCCTCCCTCCCATGTCTCTGTCTCTCCTTGTCTACATTGCTCAGTTTCAGAAGCAAAAGGCAGGAAGGGTTGCTGAGGCACTCACAGGATCTGTCCATCTGTAGCTTTACCCAAGCAGGACTGGAAATATTTTGGAAAAAAATGTCTGTACTGAACATACATAGTTTGTGTGTGTGTGTGTGTGTGTGTGTGTGTGTGAGAGAGAGAGAGAGAGAGAGAGAGAGAGAGAGAGAGAGAGATGAGTGTCTGCTGTGTATGTATGTCCATCTGTCCATCCATGTATGAGTGTGTACCGTGTCTATCTCTGTTTGTGTGTCCATCCAACATGTGTGCGTCATGTATGTCTGTCGTGTGTGTGTCCCTCTGTCTGTCCATGTGCGCTCACGCACACGGGTAGAGGTCAGTGGTTGATGCTGGGTATACACCTCAGCCTTTCTCCACCTTCCGCTTTGAGACACAGTGGCTCTCTGAGTCTGGAGCTCACGGAATTAGCTGGGTTGGCTGGCCAGAAAACCCGGGACCCTCCTGTCCCCTTCTCCCCAGTGTTAGGGTTCTACAGGAGTTGCTGCCATGGATTGCTAGGCATGGAGCATAGGTCCTCAAGCTTATGCAGCAGTGACACTACCATCAGAGCCACTGCCCCAACTGCTTTCCGGTGGCATTGTTCTCTAAACCAAGACTTTTTTGTTTGTCTTTTGTTTTGTTTTTCGAGACAGGGTTTCTCTGTGTAGCCCTGGCTGTCCTGGAACTCACTTTGTAGACCAGGTTGGCCTTGAACTCACAGAGATCTGCCTGCCTCTGCCTACCCAGTGCTGGGATTAGAGGTGTGCACCACCACCACCAAGCTAAACCAGGACTTCTTAACTTCTACTTGTGACTCCTTTTCACCCTCCAGACTTTTACCTCCAAGTTCACCCCATATGAATAAGTATATAAAACAGGTAGGTAAATGAAATGTTTTCTGCCATAATGAAATTTATTTTAGAACAATTCTTTTTTGATGCAATTTTACCTCTTATTAATGCAAATATGCATACTAATGTGATGGATGTACTTATTTATATTTGCATAAAAATAAGTCCTGGTTGAGTGATATGCAGGACACAGAGCATCTTTGATGTTTTTCAGAGTTTGATTGACATTTTGATTTTATAATCATCAATGTTGACCACACTTCCTCACATAAATACACAGTACAAAATGGCAGAGGGATGTTTAGAGCCATTTCAGAAATTGTTGGAAATTCTGTCCTAATCCGAAGTCAAAACCACTGACTGACACTTTATTTATTTTTTTAAAGGAAACTCAAGTCAGCAATGCAAACAGCGTTTTTCAAATTCAAGCATTCTAAAGCAACGCTATATGAACACATACTCATTTAGTGCTCCTATGAAAACATCAGGGCCTTGTGTACTGTAATTGGGCCATTGTATTTCAGTAAGGGCAGGGAGACTTTGCATCTACATTACAAACACATAATCCTTAATACACCAGGGCCTCAAAGTTGAGCCGCTGCTTCTGCTGCCTTCCCTGACGTGATAGCACAGGCAGTGCAAAGTGTACATGCTCAGAATCCAGGCTGTGGAAAATCATGTGACCAGAAACACCCATTCCTTGCTTGTTTGACTTTAAGTAACTGTTCTCCCAGAAACATTGTATCTTGATAAAATTTCACAAGCTCCACATTCTGTTGTAGGGATTTGAGTGGGCGGGTTGGGGGCGGCTAAATTACCAGGCTTTGAAACCCAAGAGGCTTTCAGGCGCCCATATTTTCTTACCTTGCTTCTTTTTTTCTTCCTCATTTCCTCTCTTGTCTTCTCCCCTTTCCCTTTGCTTGCTTCCGTCTTTCTCCCATCTATTCCTGAAGTGCATTTTCACTGCACTTCCGTCTTTATGTCTTCTTTTTGTTCCCCTCCCCCCTCCCTTCTCTTTCTCATGCTATAATCTCCATTACCGCTTTCTTTTCCTCGTCCCCACTCCATTTTCTCTAATTTCTTCCAGTTTTTTGTTTTTGCCCCTCTCCTTCCTTTACACTTTCATGCCTGGAGGCCAATATGTTCCGCAGAAGATGATAGAACTGTCTCTCTTGATGCTGGGCCACTAAGGTCTCTGTATTTGGAAACTGAGACCTCAGACAAGCACAGAACCCAGTCTGGGAACGTATTGAGCACTTTGAATGCACGAATACAGTGTAATTTTCCCCTCTCTAGTTCCTGCCTTTATAACTAGCTCTGCATTCAACAAGAAGAGAACAATACAAGCCACGTCTCCACAGTGGTCTACACACACAGAGGATGCCGGGTAATTACTGTTATGTTTTCTTTCCCTCCCTCCCTCCGTCCCTCCCTCCCTTTCTGCCTTCCTCCTTCCCTCTCTCCTCCCTCCCTGTGTCTCTCCATTCCTTTTTGGTTTTTTGAGACAGGGTTTCTCTGTGTAGCCCTGGCTGTCCTGGAACTCACTCTGCAGACCAGGCTAGCCTTGAACTCACAGAGATCTGCTTATCTGAGATTGAAGGAGTATACTACCATGCCCAGCAGCGTTAGAGTCTTCACAAACTGTCCTGTGAATTTGAAAGTTGACATACTTCCATTTGGAGGGCTTCTTGCTGACACTGTCCTCACAGGCTGGAAGGCGTGTCCATGCTAACCCTTGTTTACTCTTCCATCAGACAAGGGAGACCCAACAGCGGCTTGTTTAGATGCACAGGCTGCTTACTATCGAGGAGTCACTGAGTGTCAGATTTTTTTATCCTTAGAAAAGTTACAGTACGTAGTTGAGCATGGTGATGCACACTTGCAATCCTCACGTTTGGGGCGAGATGGAGTTAAGGAGTGCAGAGGCAGCCTCAGTTGTTGGTTTTGAGGCCGATATGAGGTATGTGAGCCCTTGTCTCAACCTCATGCATATGTGTGTGTAAGTATGTGTTCATGCATACACACATGCGTGCTGGGCACAATGGCACATTTGAAGGTTGCTACCCGGTCAACTTGAGCTACTCAGTGAAACTGTGCCTCAAGAGAAAAGAGTGAGTAATGTTTGCTACACAGTTGACATGGCTCTTTAAGACTTCTGGCACTACCGGGCCACTTCTAAGTATGGTGCGTGCGATCCTGACTTCTTTTGCTTCAGATACTGTATGGAGTTCAAGACAGAGTCCCTGACTCCTCACTGTGCTCTGGACAATCGTCCCCTGACACGATGGATGCAGTACCTTCGAGAGGGTTACACGGTGTGTGTGGACTGCCAGCCCCCAGCTATGAATTCTGTGAGCCTGCGTTGCTCTGGAGACGGCCTGGATTCTGATGGGTAAGGAAGGAAACTGACTGATGGGCTTTCGTTCCCCGAGGACCTGTCCTCTGTGTCCCAAAGAGCTGAGCAGTGTGCAACATCTCAACATAGTACATGGACAGGGAGGCGGACCTGTCCAGGGACCCAAATCCAGGACTTTGGTTCTTGCTAAGGGACCCAGAAGCTCTCTGCACCAGAAATACACAGGCCAGTATGGTTATCGGACTTCATTCCAGATGAAGTTCTCCAAGGACTACCAAAACCCTGCTCACTCCACAGGTGCTACAGACTCTTGAATCTGACTCTTTTGGATTAGAGAATTAGAACGTACACATTCTTGGCCCCACTTCTTAGGACCAAGTGAACCAAAGTTTTAGTAATCTCTTAGGTCTAGACATAAAATTTTTCCTATAAAACATCAGAAAGCAGTTATTTTTGGCTTTTCATTCAATACGTCATTTGTCATAACCACTAGACTCTGATATTGGCCATGAAAGCAGCCATTGACACTTTTAAACCTTAGCTTTGTTCTAACAGACTTTTGTGAACACCAAAATTCAAGTTTTGTATGGTTTTCATGTGTTGCGAAATACTGTTCTTTTGATTCCTCCTTAACTCTTTGTTGCTGCTTGGGATAGGGTCCCACTCTTGCCAAAGATCGCCTAGATCTCACTACATAGGTCAGGGGGGCCTGGAACGTATAGCAGTCCTCCAAAATCAGCCTCCAAGGTACTGGGATCACAAACATAGACCTGCATGCCCGGGCTCTTTAACTCTTAGAAATGTAAGACCCAAAAAGCAAGTAAGTAAAAACAAATAAAAGCTAAATAATAATAATAATAATAATAATAATAATAATGATAATAGAATTCATCATTAACTCACAAGTCCCATTCAGAAAGAAGGGGTGGGCAAGAAGAGGCGTCAGTCATATTGTGCCCATCCTCTCCAGGTAATTCAGACCCCAGGAATGTTCCAGAGCTGCTGGTGCCTGAGGTCAGTTTTCTGAGGAGGCGACCGCAGACATTGTTTCTCCCCACAAGCCTCTCCCAGTCCTGCACCCACGTTCAGTTAGACCCTCACTAAATGCCATTTATAGCTAGGGGAGGGATCACGGGGGCTGCTGTGGACGGGATCAATTTAATCCATACATAATGGCTTTCAGCATGTCAGGTGTAACTGGTAAAAACGGGTTAAAAGTCAAACACCAACCTTTCCAGTTAATCATTATTCCCATCATGTTTTAATATTTAATAATTCAGCTCATGTTTATTAGTCACTCGTGCCCAGCACTCTCTATTGAGTTCACCATGTGAGCAATAAAGCAGGTAAGGAATTCATATCAAATGAAACCTAATATTTGGATTTAATGTTTTTCTGAATACCTCATCTCTATTTTGACTTTAAATGAATTTATAATTCAATTTGTACCCAATAAAGAAATCACTAGAACCCTGGTAACTGTATGAGTGACTTAATGAATAATATTTTAACTCTCTGGATTTGCTTTCTGTACTTTTTCCCAGAGAGTTGGGATAGAATGAAAGTGGTCATTTAGTTAGACCCTCCTTACGTAAACATGCCCAACACTCTATTGCCCTGTGTGTAGTACCTGAATCCCCCCCCCCCCGGGGGAAATGGACGAGGAAGCCCCAAACCTCTCTCTGAACACGAGTGTCCTTGAACAGGCATTAGCTGCTAACTCAAATGGACATAACCCCAGGAAGGAAAGTCTCCCTGACTATGAAGGACGGTGGGCAGCTAGAATCGACACTGTGGTTAAGAGCACTGGATGCTCTTCCAGAGATCCACATAGCAGCTCACATCCATCTGTAAATCCAGTTCCAGGGGGTTCAATGCCCTCCTCTGGTGCCCTTAGGCATACATTTAGCCAAACACATAAACACACATAAAGTAAAAGAGTGAATAATTTAAAAACACTGATTTGTAATATACTTTGAAACTGTGTGATTGCTACCTTATTTATGGTTTCTATTGCTGTGATGAAACACTACCATCAAAAGCAATTTTTAACCTTACAGTTTGTAACAGGAACCTGAAGGCAGGAACTGGAGTAGAGGCCATGGAGGAGTGGTGCTTACTTGTCTGCTCCCTATGGCTTGCTCAGCCTTTCTTACAACATCCCAGACCATCTGCCTAGGGATGGCACTTCCCAGAGTGAGCTGGCCCCTCTCACATCGGGCATCGATTTAAAAAATGTACCATAGGCTTGTCCACTGTCCAATTGGGGTGGGTGGTGGGGATCATTTTCTCAATTGAGATTCCCTCTTCCTGAATGGCTCTAGCTTGTGTAAAACTGACATTACACTAGCCAGCACACTATCTTTAAAATCAACAACAAACAATAACACATTAGGGCTGGCTCAGCTGCTAAGAGCACCTGGTACTCTTGTAGAGGATCTAGGATCAGTTCCCAGCACCCACATAGAGGCTAACAACCCAGCTCCAGGGTATCTAGTACCCTCTTCTGGTCCCCATGGTCACTAGGCATGAAAACAGTGCACTCACATGTGTGTGGGCACAACACTCACACATCACACAAATAAAAATGCATAGATCTTTGACAAAACATAACTGTGTAGGTCAGAATTCCCTGTGGTTTGCTTTTAGTATAACCCACAGTTCTACAATACCATTTCAGAAACCAGACTCTTCGCTGGCAAGCCATCGGCAACCCTCGATGTCAAGGGACCTGGAAGAAAGTGCGGCGAGTACAACAGTGTTCCTGTCCGGAAGTGCACCGCTTCATTTTCATATAGGTCGTCTTGGAGACACCGGCAGGGCTCTTTGCCAGTGGGAGGAGTATTGCTAAGCTGAGTTCAACATTTCAGAAGCCTCCAGAAACTATGCCAAGTCCCCGGGTACCCTCCAATGCCATGCTTTGCCTCTGAGAAAGAAAACTTAGGGGTAGTTAACAGCCTTTGTTTTTATTCTTACTGAGCTAAGGATCTGTACTGAAAGCTCTATGGCCCACAACCTCGACCTTGCATTTGGCCACAGAATACATGCCTGTTTGTACTAGAGTCCCTACCGTGGGCTCCAGTCTGGTTTAGGGTCTGGTTTAAGGGCATCTACATATTCTTTGTCTATATTGGTATTTTGTTTTGTTTTAAATTAAAGGCAGGGCTTCACTATGTAGCCTAGAGCTCACCATGTAGATCAGGCTGGCCTCTAATTCATAGATATTCAACTGCCTCTGCTGGAACTAAAGTGTTGCACTACCATGCCCGGCTTTTCTTTGTCTCTCGTGTTTTCCTTTGGAGTTGGGGTGGGGTAGGGGTGGGCAGGGTTTCCGTGTAGCCTGGCTGTCCTGGAAGTCATCCTGTAGAGCAGGGTGGTATTGAACTCAGAAATTCACCTGTGTCTGCCTCCCAAGTGCTGGAATAGAAGACTTGCCCCTTCTATTCTTAAAAGCTTCTCACATAATGGACTACACATATATGTATAAAATTTCAGTTGGTGTTCTGTAATGAAAAGCCAATGCCCATTCTGAAAACAATTTAAAAGAAGTAGTTTTCCTTGGTTAGTTGAAAAGATCAAACATCCATGCTAGATCAATAGGGATTGCTTACAGTGTTAAAATTCTCCTGAAATTTTGGCACCAACAAATGAGCCAAGTGCTTTAATTACAAACACCCCATCATCATTTGTATAGAAGGCTGTTCCCAATGTTTAGTGCCTGAAACAGAATAAGGCAATCTTTCAATGTTTGGCGTGAGATGCAGGGTTCATATGACATGAGGCAGTGGATCTCCCTGTAGATGTTATACTCACCCTCACACGCAGACAATACAATATTAGCTTTACCTTATGGTTGGAAGATAGGTGAGTTTGCATGGCATGGTGCCCATCTTGATCTAGGCTAGCAAGCTGTTCTGCAGTCATCTGCAGAGCCTGGTCCACGTTCCCCATTCAGGGCTCTATTTCAGCAGTCAAGGTCGCCCTGACTGTTCCAAGAGTCCAGGGCAGGATCTCAGCCTGGTTTCCTTTTGAAGTAGTTTTAAATCAAGGATAATTTCTTTGAAGAATTGAATCAATATTTAAAATTCCTTTGGTCTGAATCGAATTGCATAATTATTCACTAACACGGTTAACTAAAATACATATATTTTTGGCACTGATCATGTAGCAAGAGAAGGCCAGAAGCAAGCTTAGAGGGTAGGTAAATGTCTTCAATAGTATTTGTGACTATATCTTCCTTTAACTGCCAAGGAATAAAAACTAAACCCTTGCATTTGGAAGCTGGAGAGATGGCTCACAGTTAAGAGTGTGCTCATTAATCTTGTAGAGGACTGCAGTCTGGTTCCCAGAACACGGAGGCCAGGTTTACAATGTCCTGTAGCTCCAGGATGTTTGGTTGGACACTCAGGCATCCGTAAGTGTATTGAAAAGACATGCAACCTTTAGGTCTAAGTGAGACATACAGCTTACTTCTCCTCATCCCCAAATAGATTAGGCAGATAACTTAGGTGTGTGTGTGGGGGGGGGCACATTCTCAACTCTGTAACTTTGAATGTATCTTTTTTTCCCCTCTGAGACAAGATCTCGTGTAACTCAGACTGGCCTGGAAGCCACTGTTTAGTTGAGGATAGCTTTGAACTTCTGATTGCTCCCCTCCATCTCTCAGGTGCTAGCATTACAGGTGTGTATCCTCACTCCAGTGTTTTCGTAGGACTGAACCTAGGGCATTATGCATGCTAAGAAAGCACCCTCTCGGACTGGGACACACGTTTTGAAGATCGAAGGCAAACAAGATTTTACTGATGGATAAACAAGAGCTGCGTGAATGGGGAGGAACTTCATTTTATACCATTTAGAGAACACAGAGTCTTCCCAAAGGCAGGAGGTCTCAGGTCCCATTTACTGAGAGAAAGCCAGGTCACCTAGGTCACCTAGAGAGGAACAAAGATCCTTGCGGAGGCAGGCTCTCTTCAGCAACAAAACCTCTAACCTCTGAGAGAAAATAAATTTGAAGCTGGTTGTCTGTGCCTGTGTCACTGACTAAGCATGAAGGCCTTATGGACACATGAGGTTTCTGATGACACTTCCTTATTAAAAGGCCCCTCATCCTCACAGAGTGAATTTCTGAAAAGACAGAAAGGAGAAGACACAAAGGCAGGCAGAGGATCAGAGAAGCCCGTTATCATAGACTGAGGGTTCGTAAGGCTCACTGAGGGCCTGGCTCACTGGTTTTCTCTAAGGAGCATCACATTAGACACAGAACAAAGTCTAGGGTATCCAAACACAAAAGAATACAAAATATTCTAGACAGAAAAATATGGTTCATATGTATAGGACCAGTAATGACAACAGTGTGGGACAATTTATAATGTTAACATCTGAAGCTAAAAGACATCAGTGATACCTTTGAAACTCAAAAAGGGAATGTTTTTTCAAAAAAATTCTATATCCAATAAAATTATTCACCACACACATGGAAAGAACAATGGTACTTTAGACACAGAGAGCGCGGAAATTTCTACTCTATGCCCCTTTCCTGGAACAGCATCAGAGGGCGCTCAACCTAGACTGGAGTGGAGTACAAACCAAGCAAAGACACCCAGAGAATAGGGATTGTCAGGGTAGAGGGACAGCCCAGACCAGGCTAGCCACAGCCAGAAGGGCCAGACTACATGGAAGTAAGGAAGGGAGGGAGAGAGAGAGAGAAAATCAGCTCAGAATGGCCAGGACCGGCTAACATCAAATGTCTTGTTTCTACCTCCTGCTTGGGTCTGAACAAAAATTGCAAGTATAAGCAGATGCTGCCTGGCACCTTCTAGTTCATTCAAGGTTTTTCTTCCCTCTTTCTCCTCCTGCTTTCTAACTGAAAGCTGACCCAGTATGATCTACCGGAAGCCCCAACCTCCATTCCATTCTGACTTCTTTCTTTCCTAGGCTTTTTGCTGTTTGCTCAAGTACTTTTTTTAAAATTAATTTTTCATTATCAGCATGAATTTCATATGGCATTTCTATACATGTCCTTCTAAGTTTGTTCTATTCATGTTCCTCTTCCAACTCTGCCACAGTCCCATGTACCCTAATTTACACTCCTTTTTGCTTTCCTGTAAAGTTGCATGCATCCCATTAACCCTTTCCCCACCTCTCACAGTATCCTTTCCTGGTCGGAACTCATGTATACACACTGTTGTGGTTTGAAAGAACATGGCCTCCAAAGGGACTGGCACAATTAGGAGGTGTGGCTTTGTTGGTGTAGGTGCGAACTATGTTGGAGGAAGCAGGTCACTATGAAGGTGAACTTTGAGGTCTCACATATGCTCAAGATACCACCCAGGGTCTCAGTTTACTTCCTGTTACCAGCATATCAAGATGTAGGACTCCTTCTTCAGCTCCATGTCTGCCTGCACATGGCCATGGTGAACCATGATGATAATGGACTAAACCTCTGAACTGTAAGCCACCCCAGTGAAATGTTTTCCTTTATAAGAGTTGCTGTGGACATGGCGTTTCTCTAGAGCAACAGAAACCCAAGCTAAGACACATACTCACATGAACATAGGCAAAACTTAATCTAGACTCCGCCTATGCAGGGATAACTTGTCTGAGTCTTGCTTGTTTTGCTTAACTTCATTTCCAGCTCTATCCCCTTAGGAAAACCTGAAATGGCCCGTTTGAGGTTGCTAGAGCCTAGATAAAGTGAAAGACAAATCTGCGTTGGAACTCAAGGGGCAGACATGTCAGCATGCAGTCATGTTTTGTGAAAATCTGCATTGCATTGCATGGTTTAGCTAGCACGGAGCTGCCCCAGAAGCACAAGCTGTTACTACAGGAATAGGGAATGGTTGGGAAAGGTATGGTTTAGATGGGATATAGGTAGATTAGCCTATTTTCTTGTGAATTTGAGTAAGAATGAGATAGTATTTTACAGCTTACATTGTTATGTATTCTTATATGTGGTAAGCTATGTAAAATTAACTTTATATTTTGTTATATTATGTGAAATCTTTCCACTTATGATGTTTTATGCACATTATTTTAATATATTCTATGTATGTATACTTTTCTTGTATTCAAGACATTTGTATATTGATACAATTTGGGATATTTATCTTGCTGCCCTTATAGTTCTACCTCTTGTCTTGACATTTCTACTCTACCTCTATTTTAGGGATTTATATGTATGTATATGTATATAGTTATATTGTTTAAGTATTTGTTCCTGCTTTACTCAGGGAAGTTTTAATCAGTTTTTTAGCTAAGTTCCTGAGTATTACAGATTATCTTCACTCATGTTTCCTGTACCTATGAGATTAGTCAGATATAGATGCTTAATCTTCAATCACTTCATAGACATGCAGAACATGGCATTTAAATGTTTTAATATTAGTACTCCATTGACATGAGACACTGTTGCTCCTGACAGCACCATGCACTTTCCCGAAAATATGTTGGACACTGTTGTTGCTCCTGCTGGAGTTCATTCTCGCCTCAGCTAATGGCCTGTTGGGCAAAGAACTGCCCCCACCTTGACCACTGATTTGGATATGCAGTCCTATGTGCTTGCAGGAGACAAATATAGAAGACTGCTTGACCTTGCCAAGTCAGGGTAAGACAGCCATTCTACCTCCCTGCTATTGTTGTGGTCTGTCAAGTTCTCTTGGCCTTAGCCAAAACTGGGTGTACCAGCGTTGCTGTGAGACCTAGGGTGACTGTTCAGGTGGCTTGCTGTTTCTGTCCTTGCTGCACCTTTTGGAAGTTGTCCATCCGTACTTCCTGTCTACTCTAGTATTGTTATTTTCCTTCTCAGGTCTTGATGAGGTTGAAGATTAAATTATCACAACTATTATTCTCTCTTCCTAGTTAGAAATATTAGGTACTAGACTTACGTTTTCCAGCTTAGGACAACTCTATTGTAAACTCCATTATGCCTTCACCCTAGGACTAGATATGTAGGTCATTTTGTTCTCGATTTTCCTTTTCTTAGAGCACACTTGTTATTCACTGTTTTGTATATAGTTTTGTATTAAGCCTAAATCTTTTCTTTAGACTAAAAGGGGAATTGTAGTGAGATAGTCCTTCTGTGGCACTGACCACGCCCATTGGGGGGGTGGAGCCATGGGCGGAAGTGACCTGTGGAAGGAGGTCAGAGAGAGAGCCAGGAAAAGCTCTCTTGCTGGCGTGACTCGGACAGGAGAGCATCGGGTTGAATTTCCTGGTGTTCATCTGTCTAGTTGTAAGTTATTTCTCCCTGAATAAACATCTAT